CAAAATCCTGTTCTTAATGCAAATCCTGCTCTGAAACTCTCCCTGGACAGATGTAATAGGACCCATAATCAGACAAGCTCTCTCACATATCACACATGCTCTCTCTCACAAATTATACGAGCGCTCTCTGACATATGATATGTATGAGCTCCCAAAAGTCATACGAGCTCTCACATATCATACGAGCTCCCACATATCACATGAGCAGAAATATCACCAGAAATAAATATCCCTTTGATATCCCCAGAGTCAAACTTAATGTGCAAATACTATGCAAATAAAGGGACCTAGTCTATGGAACTCACTCCCTAATGAATTGAAAAGCTGTCCAACTTTTGCCTTATTAAAAAATAAAACCAAAAATTACCTAATTTCATCTTCATAGTTTCTTACCTTGAGCTCTAAACTCACACTATATCTAGTGCTACCCAATTCCCCAATATATATGTACCTAAGCCATACAACTTTATCATTGTGATCATTGCTGTCATCTTATATATGCCATCAAGTGGCTTTATTGTGCCTACTAATCTTTGTCAAATTATCAATCAAGCTATCAGTACTATCAATCAAAGCTATCAATGTGCTTTAATATAATACTATAATAATCTCTCTCAAGTTTTCCTACAATGTACCTATTAACATTTTATAAATTTTGTAAGAATTTATCTTCTTACTATTATCTGCTAGATTAAGGACCTGCCCAAATCGCCGTGCGTACTAGTGGCTTTACAAGAATGTAAACACATCATACTATGAACTCTCACAATCCCAATGCACCTTCTTGTATATAAATAAATAAATAAATATGATAGCTCTCTCTATCATGCTATGTATGTAAGAGCTTGTATAACTTGTGGGAGCTGCAATGACATGTGAGTGAGAGCTCGTATGATATGTGATTGAGAGCTCATATGACTTGTGGGAGCTCATGTGATATATGAGAGAGGGCTCGTATGATATGAGAGCTTGTATGGTATGTGAGAGCTCATATGATATTTGGGAGCTCGTATGACTTGGGAGCTCATATGATATGTGAGAGAGAGCTCGTATAATTTGTGAGAGAGAGCATGCGTGATATGTGAGAGAGAGAGCGTGTCTGATATTTACCCGAGGGCCATTATCTCTCTAGAGGCCTCGACGAGGACAGGAAGCCGGTGGCTTGTCAAATGTCATCCCATTTGTCAATAATACAAACCACGTCATCAAATTTTCAGACGACACTAAGATTTGTGGTAAAGTGGGAAGGGAAAATGATTTTGAGGCCTTGCAACGAGAGCTACATGAAGTCCACAAATGATCGCAAGTCTGGCAAATGCCTTTTGATATCGAAAAATGCAAAACATTGCATGTGGGGCATATCTACCCACGCCACAACTACCAAATAAATAACATTATCTTGCAACAGATTGGTGAAAAAAAGGACTTTGGAGTTAGAATTCATCATTCACTGAAAGCTGCACAAGTGGGAGCGGCAGTAAAAGAAACTAACTAAACTCTAGGCGTACCTTTGACTTTAAGGAAAAGAAGGTAGTGATGAAACTGCATCAACCTCTGGTGATTGGAACACTGTATCCAACAATGGAGACCTCATCTTCAGAAGGACACAGCTGCTCTGAAGAACGTGCAACAGCAGGCGACAAAAACAATTCTTGAACTAAGTGAACTCTCGTATCAGGAACGGTTGAGGGCCACAAGGGCTAAGAACACTGCAAACCAGGCATGACAGGGTGGATCTCATTGAAACTTTTAAAATACTGAACAAGTTGGAGGCTGTTGATCAGGACAACTTCTTCAAAAGGTCAGATGTAACACAAATAAAGAGCAACTGTTTCAAGCTAATCAATCCGGTAAGAGGGACGCCACCCACCCTGGCTGACCCTGCCAAGGAAGACATCACATCCATAGACGACAACGGATCACCCGGAACTCCCACAACCAACACCAAGAGGCTATCCAAAGCCACCACCGACGTCGAAGAGAACGGCCTTGCCACCGCCGACGAAGATGAGGACGAAGACAAAAGTACTTGCCATGTGCTGTTCATTCCGCCCAGCGAGTTCATTGACAACACACACACACACCAGACGAAAATTGGCCCACAGATGTAACAAGATAATCAGCGGGAACAAGTACCCGCACCCCATGTGTGTCCACGCCCACACCATGAACTCTTACACTGGTCTCACAATACTGAAGAAAGAATACCGCGACCCAGAATTCCGCCGCAAATTCCCAGACGGACAAATGCAATTCCTCGAAAAGGACGACGATGCTGATGGTACCAAACTACAGAGGTTGTTCTGTTCAGATATAAAGCGCCGCTTTGCACATTAAACTGCAACCTGGCGACCAAGTGTCCTGCGGGCCATAAACTGCAACCTGGCGACCAAGCGTCCTGCGGGCAATAAACTGCAACCTGGCGACCAAACGTCCTGCGGGCAATAAACTGCAACCTGGCGACCAAGCGTCCTGCGGGCAATAAACTGCAACCTGGCGACCAAGCGTCCTGTGGGCCATAAACTGCAACCTGGCGACCAAGCGTCCTGTGGGCCATAAACTGCAACCTGGCGACCAAGCGTCCTGTGGGCCATAAACTGCAACCTGGCGACCAAGCGTCCTGTGGGCCATAAACTGCAACCTGGCGACCAAGCGTCCTGTGGGCCATAAACTGCAACCTGGCGACCAAGCGTCCTGCGGGCAATAAACTGCATCCTGGCGACCAAGCGTCTTGCGGGCAATAAACTGCAACCTGGCGACCAAGCGTCCTGCGGGCAATAAACTGCAACCTGGCGACCAAGCGTCTTGCGGGCAATAAACTGCAACCTGGCGACCAAGCGTCCTGCGGGCAATAAACTGCAACCTGGCGACCAAGCGTCTTGCGGGCAATAAACTGCAACCTGGCGACCAAGCGTCTTGCGGGCAATAAACTGCAACCTGGCGACCAAGCGTCCTGCGGGCAATAAACTGCGAGCGACTATAAGATCCCATCCATCCACAGGTCTACAGTATCAGCTATTGGTACTGTCTGGCTAGGGCGCCTGACAGCTGGGTGGACAGCGCTTCGAATTCACAGTCCTTAGGTTCCTGGTTCGATCCCCGGTGGAGGCGGAGACAAGTGGGCAAAATGTTTCTTTCACCCTGATGCCCCTGTTACCTAGCAGTAAATAGGTACCTGGGAGTTAGACAGCTGCTACGGGCTGCTTCCTGGGGGTGGAGTCCTGGTCGAGGACCGGGCCGCGGGGACACTAAGCCCCGAAATCATCATCAAGATAACCTCAAGATATAACATTGCACAGGTGTTGTGAACATTGCCCGGGTGTTGAACAGTTCACAGGGGCTACTCTAGAGTTAGCCTTTGAAGCTTTCGAGAGTGACGGTGTTCAAGAGCTGAAGCAGTACACGTCCCGACGCTTGTAAAGCTTCAGCGAGAATAAGGAGGTGAAGCTCAAAGCGAGATAGCTGAACTCATGCCTGGTGTCTCATCGTGGAGAAGCTTCCACACAGAACACCAATCAGAATCCAGTTTCTGTCATATACACACATCTGATTGGGTAAACTATGGGTCTTCTCTGGCATCACTGGGAATGGAGGAGGAAGGGTTATCAAACCGTTGACGAAGTTAGGAAAGCCGTAACCTTGTACGCTCCCTGCCGCACTCCACGGTTAATGTTATGGTAGTGGACTCCACCCATGATTACCCCGTCAAGATGTACTGTCATCTGCTGGTATAACCAGACGTCCCATGCGCAACACACACGATATCTGAACTGTCAGTGTGAACACCGATCTGTAGACACCCGGCATGAGGTACTTGTGTCCTTGAATAAAGGCAGTATAGCAAGCCTCAGTGTACAGGATTGCATAGCACTGCTCAGCACAGCACAGCACAATAGCCATGGGGTACAAGTCAAGCTGAGAGATCCCCATTCGCTCACATTCCTAATGAAATTGCAAGCTAAAATCTGTGATCCTAAATCGGCTCATCTAAACCCTGACTCTAGAAACTCATCTATTTCCAGAGCACACTTTTGTATCCATAAAGAGTAAACTCATTTTAATGCTAAGTATCTATTACTTAAGGATCAGGATGGTCCAAGAGCCAGCTGAGTGGGAGAACCTTCATCTGGTTGGTGGACCTGATTCCAAGTATATCTTCCTCCAGGAGAGCGGTGCACACTCAGGATGGGAGGGAGGGAATTATCAGGGGAAAGCACCTAGCCATTACGACTATATAGCACTGGGAAGGGGTCAGGATAAGGATTTGGGATGGGACGGGGGGAAAGGAATGGTGCCCAACCACTTGGATGGTCGGGGGATCGAACACCAACCTGCATGAAGCGAGACCGTCGCTCTACCGTCCACCCCCAAGTGGTTAGATGGGAGTGAACTTGTGCTTCAAATAAGGTTTGGAGCTACATAGCCTTCCCGGTTTGGTGCCTTCTTTTGATAATTACTTACTTTCTTCAAATAAGGTTTTGTAACCCTTGCTGTCAACAACTAATGATGCACCTTAGGACTGCAGGTTTCTTGGCTACCTTGTTTGCTAGGTTAAACACATAGCATTTCATGGAAATTAAAACTAAAATTTCATTCCTAATATGTCGACTTCATCACTAAACACTAGGCTTTTGTCACTCATTTGTATGCATGTCTGATTTCCCTATATCATACTGTCGTGTTATCATCATTTCCTGTGTTTTCTTTTTCACAAATGTGACGACATCACCATCCAGGGTAGACATTCCTGAATGTTTGTGATTAATAAACACTGTTGCAGTTGGTATGTCTTCTTTTCCATATATGTGTAATGGAGCCGGTCGGCCGAGCGGACAGCACGCGGGACTTGTGATTCTGTGGTCCTGGGTTCGATCCCAGGCGCCGGCGAGAAACAATGGGCAGAGTTTCTTTCACCCTATGCCCCTGTTACCTAGCAGTAAAATAGGTACCTGGGTGTTAGTCAGCTGTCACGGGCTGCTTCTTGGGGGTGGAGGCTTGGTCGAGGACCGGGTCGCGGGAACACTAAAAGCCCCGAAATCATCTCAAGATAACCACAAGATAAGAAGGACAGTTGAAGGGAAGGGAACTATCAAGGGAAAGCGCCAAGCCATTACGACTATATAGCACTGGGAAGGTGTCAGGATAAGGATTTGGGATGGGACAGGGGGGGGAGGGGAAGGAATGGTGCCCAACCACTTGGATGGTCGGGGATTGAACGCCGACCTGCATGAAGCGAGACCGTCGCTCTACCGTCCAACCCAAGTGGTTGGACGAAAGACAGTTGAGGTAATGAAACGCTTTGCCACACGTGTGGCTTTATTTGTTATTTTATATTTTATATATTTTTATATTTATATATACAAGTGTTCTTGCATTCTTGTAAAGCCACTAGCGCGCATAACGTTTCGGGCATATCCTTAACCTTAATTTTCCCTGGAATACGACCCATCAAATTGTTTAACCAGGTACCCACTCACTACCGAGTGAACAGAGGCATACATATATACAGTTTAAGCACTTTATATTCACTATAACAATAAGCAAATTGCATAATCAACTGAAGTTAAATCAATCAGAAAATAAGAGAGTACATTACACCGACCCGTATACATGTGGGTCTCAGCTGATCTGCCGGGCACCACAACAATAACAGTCAAGCGAGCACCCATCAGGTACAACACTAACTCCAGTCAGGTACGGTTAGTTTAGTTCATTTATTATGCGCCCCATACCCATCTTGTGGACGGTAGTGGAAAGGGTTACAGAGGCACAAAATGGGCTCAGGGACTGAACCCCACAATTCATTTAGCTAAGCAAGTTACAATCTTGATGAGCTAGTTACAAAATTCAATAGACATCTTCACATCATCAATGGATTCGAGATCAACTAAAAGTACAATTTCGAAATTAAGCAACTGACATGTGGAGAGATAGTGTCACAATTGATATGTTTGTCCTGCACATCGTCCCTATCCGGTGGACAGCGGTGGATAGTTAGTCACTTAGTTACTACCTACAGTTAGCAAACTGGGGATATTTGGCTAAGATTTCTGGTAGCAGATCATTTTGAATGATGTATTTACACATCTTTGGAACATTTGTTATAGAATTGTTTCTGAATTCACGTATTTTTTCGCACTCCATCACATAGTGACGGAGGGCGTGCAAATAATTTTGTTGACTCAGTTTGGTCAGGTCTACATCAGCAGATAATGAAAATTCCCAGAGATACTTGTAACCGAGTCTAAACCGAGCTGTAGTAACATCTAGAAGTCTGCTGATTTTATTGCATGGACCATAGATGTGTGGCTCCTCTTGCATGATAGTGTGATGATCGATGGAATTACTGGTGTCGATTTCACTTCGCCACAGATTTACAAGATCTTGTTGAAGTTCTTGGTGTACTGCTGCTCTCAGACTGCTTATTGACAATCCAAGGTTATACTCAATGTCTCCTTTAAAGGCAGATTCTTTGGCTAACTCATCAGCTCTATCATGCATTCGGAGGCCAACATGAGATGGAGTCCACATGAAATGAACTCTGTTACCATCATTAATAATTTTGTTGTATTTGTGTCTAGCTTGGGACACGAGCATGTTACAGTAATGTCTTAAAGAGTTGAGAGCAATTTAAGATGATAAAGAGTCACTTACAATTAATGTATCAAGTTTGGAGACTTGTACAAATTTCAGTGCAAGAAGCAAGGCAAATAGTTCGGTCTGAGGGGTAGAGTCCCAGTTATTTATACGGACTCCCCACTCAAAATATAAGTCATCACCCATTGTCAGGACAACTGCACTTCCAGCTGCACCCGTGGTGCGGTGTAGGTATGGTAGATACAACATTTTACTACAACAGTAGGATGAGCCCAGTAGGCTCAGGAATCTGTACACCAGTTGATTGACAGTTGAGAGGCCGGACCAAAGAGCCAAAGCTCAACCCATGCAAGAACAACTGAGTACAGTCGTCAGCACAGCCTGCCCTCACCTCCCTCTCTCTCTCTTGACACACCTCCGCGTCGCCACAACAAACCGATCGACAAGGGAGTTGCCGACGGTCGGCCATTTTGGCGCGCGGATTGAACGCTCGTGGCTGGGCATTCTTTCCTCACTTCATCGGGAGCTCATCTTTGAATTCAGCTGGATTCTTTGGGCCAGTGTATGCTCACTGTAGTTACCCAGGGGGCTCTCATAGCACCGTCGGAGGCCGGAGTCTCTCTAATGGATGCCTCTCAGAGTGGGGGCACCATGGACATTGATAGCAGGTCCAAGAGAAGCAAACGTCTGTTGGAGAATGAGCCGGCGGATGCTGCCCCAGAGCGAGATGCTAAGAGGGT